TTCACAAATATATGATGCACTTTTTTTTCAATTCACATATTTTTGTCTGTGTTTGTTAATGTTGCTGGATGTTAAGAACAGGGTTTTTATAGCTGAAACTGAAAACATTTTGTAAAAATTGTTACTAAATGAACTTAAAAATAAAAGTAACTTGCAGTTTGTGTGTAATTATCTGTGAAATGTACTAGCAGTTTCTGAGTGAAAGTTTTTCTACACCAAACTTTTTCAATGTGTGGCATAAAAAATTTAAATTATGAGATTAAAAAGTCATAAGGATGAAATAAAAGGTTGAAAGCTATGGCATAAATTTTAAAATATGTAATTATGAGAAGAAAGAACTATGACACAAAAGGTCATAATTCACATGTAAAAAATATAGATTTTATGTCATAATTATGGAATAAAATGTCAAAATTGACATAAACATGGGATTAAAAAGTTTATCACATAAAAACTCAAAACTTTAAATGAAGTAATTCTGACATAAAAGTCAAAACTATGACATAAGTCATAATTTTAGCACAAATTTAGATTATTATTAAAAAAAAAAAAATCTTACTTGAAATAAAATTTTAAATAATTGTAATCAGTTACAGTTACTAAGAAAAACTTTGTAATTAAATTACAGTTACTTATGAAAATGTTAAGGATTACAAAGGGGGTTACATCAGATTTTTTCACACACACTCCCACGTACAGATTTAATTGAGTTCTTTCATAAATTGAAACAGAAGTTTGTAACATGCTTATCCGATATGCTTTATTTTTTTTAAGGTTAACTGATTTTTTCTAAGCCATTGTTAGATTCCAGTGTTTCCTGTCATAGCTAAGCAAAGATTTGATTTCAAAAACAGTATCATAGCTATTAACCTATTTCTTGTTATGATTTTAAATATGTATTTAACCTCAGAATGATTTTAAAGTAAGTCTGATTTTGTGGCGGCTGTGCTTCAAAGGGGACATCGGACGCCCATTTTCCACAAGTTGGTATGATTCTTTAGGGTGTTCTTGAAATGGTCTCAGTGGTCGTGTAAACCTTGTCAAAAACAGCTCTGGTGCATATCTCTTTACATGCTAATGAGCTCTGCTCGTCCCGCCCCTCTCTTCTGTGGAAGAGCAAACGCGATTCGCAAAGGATCATAAGAAATAAAAAGAGTGTTGGCACCGATAGCCTTGCGGGCAGCGTGCCGACATACAGTGCCACTGCGCTTCGGGTGTCCCGTGTTTGAATCCCGACTCTAGGACCTTTCCCGATTCCTGATGAACAATGGGTACTGATCCATCCTTGAGTTTTAACTTTTTAACAAAACCTGCCTTGAATTGTCCCTCATTCAGAAAGCAGTCTGGAGTAAAATGATTTGCGCAGCCAGACATAAACAAATTTAGTGAAAGTGAAGTGACGTGTGGCCAAGTATGGTGACCCATACTCGGAAGTTGTGCTCTGCATTTAACCCAGCCAAGTGCACACACACAGCAGTGAACACACACCCTATACACACACCAACAAAGTTGGGGGTTTGGTGCCTTGCTCAAGGGTCTCACCTCAGCCGTCGTATTGAAGGTTCACTCCCAAATCAAAATTGCTTGATAACTGAGACTTATCCCGTTTAGGTTTTAGGGGGATAAAAAAAAAGTGAATTTGTATCATTGTAGGGTGGTTGTGTCCACACACTGCTAAGACACATTTATATGCAGAGTAAGATACTTTGCATCCAATGTCTCCTTTAAAATTAAAATATTATAATCTTAATTTATTTCGAAAGTCTGACAGTTATCAGTGTTGAGAACCTATTGTAAGTTTAACCCTGCCTGGTTTACATGTTTGAAAATGATTAACAGTTGAAAACATTAGAAATGTACACTCTTAAAAATAAAGGTGCTTCACGATGCCACAGAAGAACCTTTTTGTCTAAATGGTTCCATAAAGAACCTTTAACATCTGAAGAACCTTTCTGTTTCACAAAAGGTTCTTTGTGGCGAAAGAAGGTTCTTCAGATTATAAAAAGGTAAGAAAGAGATGGTTCTTTAAAGAACCTTTGACTGAATGGTTCTTTGTGGAACCAAAAATGGTTCTTCTATGGCATCGCTTGAAGAACCTTTTGAAGCACCTTTATTTTTAAGAGTGTAGAAAAGTAATCAAATGTAATCAGTTACATTAATAAAGTAATTGAAAAGTTACACTAATTATTACATTTTAAGTAGGGTAACTTGTAATCTGTAACCTGTTACATTTCCAAAGTAACCTTCCCAACACTGTTGCCAAGGCAACATTTCACCTTTTCACTTTTTTAGCTTAACTTGATGTACTTATATAACTAAAACTGATATATATATATATATATATATATATAGATAGATAGATAGATAGTAGATAGATAGGTAGATAGATAGATAGATAGATAGATAGATAGATAGATAGATAGATAGATAGATAGATAGATAGATAGATAGATAGATAGATAGATACAATAATGACAAAAACACACAACAGAATTACTAAAACTAAATTAATTCAACTAATTAAAATTTTTAATTAAAGGAATTTACAAGGGAGAATATTTTACAATATATTGGTGCATATTTGCACAAATATGTGACTTTTATATGGTATATTGTGATATGTATTTTGTGATACGGTAGATATGAAACAATATAAATGAATCACATTGACATGTTTTGTCTGTCATAGATTGAAGTCGTTCACAACAACAGCAGTGACAGAATGCGTTTCTGCAGTGCGGTAAGATACTGTTATCTGAGTCATCTGTGTGTTTGTTTTTGCAAATGTTGTTTTGTAGATGAAGTTCAGTGTGATCTTTGATTTTGTGGAAGATCATAACTCTCTCTGCTCCAGAAAGTCGTTTATTTTAAACCCGTTTGGTTTTGCTCCACTAAAACTGATCTTTAATTGTCCCTGCAGCTACTGGAATTGATGAGTCTTTCATAATTATTCCCTTCGCAGCCTTTTTAACTTTTCATGAGAGAAGGAGCAATTTCGCAGCTTTTATTGTGTTCTGTAGAGAAGTGAGATATCAGATATTGATATTTGTGTGGTTTATATCCTGTCCTGCCTCTAATGTTTTATATAAAGTGCTTTAGACATTCAGTGTGTTTACAAAAGGCCCGATTAATCACCGGCGTTCACTAATAGCTTTGTGTAGTTAAACTTTACACAGTTTAGTCTGTGTTTCTTTAGCAGGGGCCTGATTTGACTGTGAAGGGGTGTGTGTGTGTGTGTGTGTGTGTGTGTGAGTGATTGTGTGTGTGCGTGTGTGTGTGTGAGTGTATGTGTGCGTGTGAGTGTGTGTGTGTGTGTGAGTGTGTGTGTGTGAGTGAGTG